CACTTTTTACAAACAGCTACTTTTGGAAAACTCAGATGTACAGAGAAGTGGGCGGAGCCTCTGGCTGAGGTCCAGCTTCATGGCTGCCTCCCCACGTCTCTCCCGCACCTGTGGTTATGAGCACGTCCACAGGGGACTGCGCTTTATCTGCACATGGGTCAGTGAACGTCTCTGAAAGATAAAGGACACCCTCTTAAGATGTGTAACTAGAGTCCTGTCATCACGCTTAAAATTCACAACTTGGCTAAAGAGGAACATATTCCCAACCCGTGGCGCTCAGTCTCCAGGGGCTCTTTTGGTTGGCTTGTTCGATGACATCCCTCCCTGGGCTTTCAGGTGAGGCGTCACCGATCAACTCCTCACCGTGGCAGCTGAGGTTTGAACGTTCTCCCGCCTCTGCCCACCAGCTTGCCCATCTCTCGTCCTCCCTGGGTGGGAGGGGATGACTTTGGGGAGGCCGGTGGGCAGTGTGCACAAAGTCTTTGCTCCAGGGCCATCCACACCGGAGCTGCCAGCGGCCAGGGTTTTTTCTGCCTGTTTGTAGATGTGAGTGTGGGTGTGTCTGTGAGTGTGAACCAGTGTGTCTGTGTGGGTGTGTGCGGGGCTCAGTGTTCTGTGTGCTTCTCTGTCTGGGCTCCACTGGTTGTCTCTGTCATCTCTCCTGCCCCTTCCTGTGCACAGGTGTCTGAGCTTCAGCTTCTGGGGGTGCAGCTGGAGCTTGCCCTGCACCTTTCACGCCTGCCAGGCCCTCAACCAGGACCTTCTTCCGCCACCACTGTCCTGGCACTCCCTGTGCCTTGCTCCTGCTCTGGACCCTGCTCTCTGTTTGATGTCATCTCTTGGTTTGCTGCCTTGCTTTGTGAGAGCGTTTATTCCAAAAGCTTCCTTAGAAAGGGGTGCATGGGAGATAAATTCTTAGAGAAAGTTTGCATGTGTGAAAATGGCCTTTTTTCTACCCAAAGTGCAACTTCAGGTGTTCCAATCCTGATTGCTATGTAACTAACCACCCCAAAACCCAGTGGTGGAAACAACTCCTTTGTTATGCTGACAGATTCTGTAGGTGGGCACAGTGGGATGGCTTGTTTCTGCCCCGTGACACCTGGGGTCTCAGCGGGGAAGACTTGACCACTGGCAGTGACTCGGGGCTGGGGCCGGGTCACCTGAGGTGGCTTCTCTCACGTGGCTGGCCCTGGGCTGGGTGCCTCAAGGGCTGCGCTTGGCTGGGAAGTTGACTGGAGCACCTGCCTTGGCTTCTCTGTGTGGCTAGCTTCCTCAGACCATAGTGGCCTCAGTGCGGTTGCGCTGCTCGTTGCCGCCTGGGGCTTCGGCGCGGACGTCCCAGTGGGGTGAGAAGCCACACTGCCGCCTATCTCTGAGCTAGAGACTCAGCAAGTGCCACTTCTGCCACACTCCACTGGCCGAAGCCGTCACAAGCCTGCCAGACGCAAGGGGGACGCAGACCCCACCTTTCTGTGGGAGCAGTGTCCAAGAATGAGTGCCACGTGAAAGCCCCACATTGCGTCTAAGATCCTGGTTTGAGTCCCGTCCCTCCGGTGAAGACGTTCTTCAGGGTTGTGGTGGGGAAGTGCACAGCCATTCAGGTCCCTTTCCTCCTTGTGTCATCAATGTTCATATCCCTTGGAAGCTCGGGAGAGCATCAGGCCCCAGGCTAGCTGTTGCTCCCTGGGTCCGCTCTCACTGTGTGCCTCACGCTCCAGCACACGGTCCCTCTTCTCACATCTCCCCTGGGCCATGGCTTCCCTGGGAGCCAAGCACTTGGTCGGCGGGAAATTCTCTTGGATTATGTTATCTTCTGTTGTCTTTTTTTTCTTTTCTCTTTTTCTGGGATTTCTGTTGTTTGGATGTTGGACTGCTGGATTGGTCCTCAAGTGTTCTTATCTTTTCCCTCCCAATTTCCATCTCTTGATTTTCGCTCTGCATTTTGGGTGATGTTCTCCACATTGTCTCCCAAACCGTCTGCAGAGTCTTCCACTTTCGGTCGTGTTTAATCCAGGGGTGCTGCTGTCTGCCGCATCCTCGCTGTCATGCTGCTTTCTGTGGTGCCTGCAGCCAGGCCTGCTCTTGTTTCCTGACCACATCAGGCTGTGGGATTAAGGGAAGAACAAAGCCACACCCACCATCAGCTCTGTAGCCACAAGGGACAGGTGTATGCCTTGCACTCGACCCTTGGCGCCCGTTCTAACCCTGCCCGTCTTTGCAGCTCCAGATCCTGTTTGCAGGAGAAGCCACACATCGGACGTTTTACTCCACCACGCACGGCGCTCTGCTGTCTGGCTGGAGGGAGGCTGACCGGCTCATCGCTCTGTGGGACCCACAGGTGCAACCACCTGGGACCAAGCTCTGAGCCCTCTCCCTCGAGCTCTGAGCCCAACTCTGCTCCTCCTGTGCCAGGGGGAGGCCGCACCACCCTTTTCCTGACAGACAGTGTTCAGCCTGGCTTGAGATGTGGGGATGTTCACGTAAGCAGGGATCAGCTCTCTCCTGTCTCACGTCTGTCACTGGAGTCCGGCTAGGGCCGAGCTGGAGCTGGGCGCACAGTCTTCCTGGAGAAGGGAGACCTGGGACACTGACGCTGGCAGCGTGCACATAAAGTATTTTAAATCCTCCTGTGTCCAGAGTCATGCTTATGCCTCAGCGCTACAGCACCTGTCCCTTCTGTCTTCGTCTTTGCCCAAGTCATCACAGGGCCCTATGTCTCCATGTGTGTGGCCCACCTCCCCTGGGTGCTGTGGCTGCCCTGCGCCCCGGGCATCTTCCAGTGTCCCCGAGTTCTCATTGCTGATGCCTGGACTGCAGCGTAGCTGACAGACCTCCCGTTGTCATTGACAGAAGCTTCGTCAGCACCTGCTGTGTGGTGGGATGGGCGAGGGCCAGTGGGTGGGGACACGTGTATGCAGAGCAGCAACTGTCCTGACCTGGGGGCCAGGGCTTTCTGGGGGAAGTGAACAGTGAGGCCTTGAGTGCAGAGGAGCTGGTGGCTGGGTGTGGTGGGGTGAGCGTATCAGGGCGTGCTGGGCAGTGGTGTTGGGGTGAGCTTGTTGGGGCACGCCGGATGGTTTTGGGGTGAGCGTGTCAGGGTGCCCTGGGTGCTATGCTCAGCTGCCCCCATCTTACCTCAGTGCATCCTCAGTGTCCCAGAGAAAGAGTTGCACTGGCCCCGTTTCCCGGCTCAGGAGAGGACAGAATGTCCAGAGGTCAGGTTAGTGATGGCCCAGTCTCACGGCTGACGGCGCAGGGCTGGGGCGTCTTTCCAGAACGGGCCCCGGGGAGGCTGGTGCCACTGCGGGGCAGTGCTCCGGAGAAAGGCGCAGGAGCCGCAGAGGCCGGAGCTCCACGCTGCAGGCAGTGGGGCTGCTGGCCTGGTGCCACCTTGAGGTCAGTGGCTCCTGTCCCTCCTGGTATCTCAGGCTGCAGTCTGCATCCTGTTCCAGGTGGGGGACCCTGGCTCCAGGGTGACTGTGTGCATGCTTGGAGGAAGGGCCTCTGGCCAGGTGGTCTGGGCTCCTCTCCTGCCCCACATGGCAGGCTGTCGCCCATGGTGCCGACACTCGCTCCGCCCCAGCACTCCAGCCCAGCAGCTTCTCATCCTTCCCAGCTCCTTTCAAATCACCCCTCCAAGGGGGCTTCCCTGTCCCTGCCCCAGAGTTCTTAAGGTGTGTCCACTGCTTTGTGTCCCTGGAGTGGTTCTGCTTGGGGCACCTGCTGGTCAGACGGCTGTGAGAGAAATTCAGAATTCAGCACGGTTTTATTTTAGTTTATGGTCCTAGGGCTACGAGAGTGCAGCTTCATCAGGTGCAAAGGGCTGTATTGTTGACATCCAAGGTGACATCTCTGTATCCAGAGACAAAGGCACTTGGGACCCAGGCTGCCCTCTGGGTGGGAGGGTGGCTCTGCCGGCAGGGGCTGGGGCCTCACTCGTGTTTGACTGGTCAGAAGGCTCAGGTGGCGTCACTCAGCTGGTCTTGCTGGTCTCATGTCGGAGGGACTTGTCCCTCATCCCCAGGAACGTTGAGCGCTGAGGATCAGGACGTCCAAGACCAGTGAGACCACAGTAATGATAGTTTTGTGCTAAGAATCCAAACATGCTTGAATTCTAGGAGCTTGTTTCAAGAATTCCATTAGAGTAGCACTCTCATAACCTGATGTGCAGTGGCGTAGCTGCTTAAACGCCTGTTTAAAGTTAAAATTGGACGTCTATCCAGAGAATGGGGGCAGTGAGAATTTCAGACTCATTGTAACAGTAGGTTTAATTTAGCAGAACTGCAGGGTATTTGGAACTGCAGGGTATTTGGAAAGGGTTTGTTTGTTACATTGAAACCTGGAGAACTTGAAAAAAGAAGAGGATGTCATGTTTATAAGATAAATTTAAAATATTTGAAAATTTTAACCAGGTCTGTAAAAAGTGACCAAACAGTGACGGGGGGCTGCTAAGTTTTGTTATACTTAGGATATGCTTAAGGAAGAAGTAGGTTTTTTTAATCTAATGAATGTTAATGTATCTGAATTCCTTAAAAAATCCCGGTGAACTCCGGGCCCCTGAGAACTCCCTGGACTGCGCAGGTCCCTGGTCGGCTCGTAGCCCCGCCTCCGAGTTGTGCCCCCGCCCACTAGGCTCCCAGCCCCACCCCCCACGGCGCCAGGCTCCGCCCCCAACCCGGGGCACCGCCCCCTAGGCTCCGCCCACCGCCCCAGGCAGCGTCGTGCTCACGCGCAGGCCGCGACCTGGAACGCCCGAGAGCCGGAACGGCTGGGCCGGGTCGCGGGCTGGGCGGAGAGGTCCGTCACGGGAGCGTTCCCCCGCGCTGCGCTGCGCTCGGGAAGCCGCGCCATGAGGCTGATCCCGCGCGCGCTGTGCGGCGCCGCCCGGGCCGCCTGGCGGGAGAGCTTCCCCCTGGGCGGCCACGCCGTGGCGCGCTGGTTCCCCGGTCACATGGCCAAGGGTGAGTCCGCGGGGCGCGGGCCGCTGGTCTCGGTCTGGGGCCGGTCCCGTCCGGGCCGCCCACCGCCGCCCCTTCCAGAAGCCGCCCGTCCCTGACTGTTCCTGCGGGGCTTCAGCCTCGGCCGAGGGCGCAGCTGCTGTCACCCCCTCATCCGCGCGGTGTCCCCCGCGCCAGCCTTGGGGCCCTTCCTGCTCGCTCGCCCGCGCGGGCCCGGGAGGGCGCGGGGACGACGGGCCGGGGCGGGGTCGCCGCGGGAAGGGCCGCTCTGCGCTCTTGGCTGCAGCGTCGCCGCCACACCGCTGGGAGCCCAGTGGGTCGTCCGTCGCGTTCCCTCCCTTGTAGCCGAGACCGCGATCCAAGCGGGTGTTACAGACTCCCGCGCAGGCGTCCGGCGGTGGAGACGGGAGCTGGCTGTCCCCGTGGCCTGTGCCGCCTCGGGTGGGCCTCCCGCGTCTCTGCACTGACCCGCCGGGGGGTACCAGCTCTCGTGGCTCAGAGCCCCTCGCTTAGGTGCTTTTTCAGGTTGTGCGTGGTGCTGTGTCATTTTTGACGGTTCAACCTAAATCCTTTACTTCTCTAAGGTCATCGACCCCGTCCCTTAGTTGTCCGTCTTCTGTTTTCCAGGGCTGAAGAAGATGCAGAGCAGCCTAAAGCTGGTCGACTGTATCATCGAGGTCCATGATGCCCGGATATCCTTTGGTGGTTGTGGTATGGGATTTATTGTAAGAAATATGTACTTGGGTTTTGCCCCTGTTCCTGCCACAGAGCTCCTGGAACCCTTGGAATTTCTCGAGATGGGAGTGAAAAAGGTGTCTTTTGTTATGTTAATGAGATGACTTTTTGGAAAGGCCCCAGGTCAGTAAGGGTAGGGGCTGCTTGCCACAGGAACAGACCCTGATATCCGGACCCTGATGTCCGAGGGTTGGAACTTTCAGTTTTACCCCCTGACCTCTGGGAGGGGATGGGGCTGGAGTCTGAATTGATAGCCAGTGGCCATGATTTAATCAATCATACCTGTGTAATGAAGCCTCCGTTAAAACCCAAAAGGATGGGGTTCGAAGAGCTTCCAAAGGGGTGAACAGGTGGAGATTCTGCACATGGAGATTGGGCTGCACCTGGAGAGGGCATGGAGGCTTGGAGCCCTTTCCCACATGCCTTGCCCTATATGCTCTTCCATTTGGCTATTTCTGAGTTATATCCTTTTATAATAAACTGGTAGTCTAGTAAGTAAAATGTTTCTCTGAGTTTTGTGTGCTGCTCTAGCAAATTAATTGAATTTGAGGAGAGGGTCATGGGGACCCCCAATTTATAGCTAGTTGGTCTGAACGCACAGGTGATCACCTGGACCTGGGATTGGTGTCTGAAGTGGGATGGGAGGTAGTCTTGGGGGACTGAGCCCTTCACCTGTGGGATTCAGCTCCATCTCCAGGTTGATAGTGTCAGAATTGAGTTGAATTATAGGTCGCCCAGCCTACTGGGATTAGGTGCAGAGTTGTAGTGGTGCAGGGGAAGCCTTTCTTTCTGAATCAGGCAGAGCTCAAGGAGCAGGAATCATTCCTGGCTTGTCACCTTGTTTCCATCCACCTCCTCCATCTGGTCCCAGCTCTGTTCCAGTCAGCCTCCACAGTGGCCAGCAGCCTCACCTGTCGTCGTTGGCATTTAAAGCAGTGGTTCTCAACCCTCATTACACGTTAGAATTCCCTCGGGAGGCTTTTAAAAATGCTGGTGCCTGGGCGCCTTTCCGGACCAGTTAATTGAAATTTCTGTATGGGGTCCAGGCCTGGTGTGTTTTGAAGCTCTGCATTGATATGTAGGTAGCCTCGTTCATCTGCCTGGCATGCCCAAGCCTTCAAACCCAGTCCAGCAGTAGGATTTTGTAGGTGGGATAGGAAACCTTGATTTAAGTGTTCCTGCCCACTGGGCTTTCCTCCCGTGCTGGAAGTATGATGCGATGACCGCGCTCGTTAGCAAGTGTGCTTTTCAGACCCTGTTTGTGTTGTATTGAGCTACGTTTAGATTCTCCGTATATGATGAAGGTGTTGGTTTGAAAGTTGTTATCATTTCTAGGATGGAGAATGAAAAGCCATTTTCATGATTTCAAAAGCTTGTTGGAACTTCTGCAATAAAGTATTGTTTCTTTTTTTCTTCTTTTTTTTTTTTGCTGAGGTAGATTAGCCCTGAGCTAACATCTGTGCCCATCTTCCTCTACTTTATATGTGGATTGCCGCCACAGCATGGCTTAAGAGTGGTATAGGTCTGTGCCTGGGATCTGAACTCATGAATCTGGGCTGCCAAAGCGGAGCACACACACTTAACCACGAAGCCATTGGGCTGGCTCCTCAAGTTTCTTTACTGTAGGCTGAATATATCAATTCACACAACATCTCATGCTGGTTGAAAGTTTACTGGCAATCACACGTCTGATTATTCAAGAGTAATAAAACCTGTAGTTATTATTCAGTGTATGTGATGAGAAGACCTCTCTTCTCTTGGTCTCTAGACTTCTTATCTAGGACGTGGCAGGACAGCGGCCTGTGAGGGAGTCTGGGGGCTTTTGTGTTCTGAATCAGCACAGGATCCGTTAACCTCCGAGGGAAGGGTCTGATTTATGGACAGTGCCTTTGTTGTGTGCCTGGACACAGGGCACGCTGGAGGCCTCGGGAATTTCACAGCTGGGGTGGGACAGGAGACGAAGCACCAGGAAGGCTGAGTGCTCAGAGGATAAAGATAAAGGCCTCCACTCCTGCCTGTGCTAGTGCCACAGGAGGTGGGACCCTACATTGAGCCCCGGGGCTTCCTGGCGGAGGGAAGAAGGGCCTGACATGGGAGTCAGGAGGCTGAACCCCCATGACGGTCTCCGTGCGGAGCCCTCGTCGCCTCTGTGGTCTCCAGTGGTGGCAGTGGTGGTTTGAGATATGTTGGTTAGGACTTCTTGAGGGATCAGGTCATTCATTTTGAACTCTGGTACCTTGGCAGCTAAACAAGGATTTAGTTATAAAACCTTCTGAGCTTTGTGTTTTTTTTTTGCCACCACCGTTCCTGTTTGAGAAGCCGTGTGAGAGCCGCAGCCCTGCCTGTCCACCTCTTGTCCACAGGAAGCAGCGCGTGGCCTGCAGGGGCACTGAGGCAGTGGGGAGAGGCGCAGGCCTTCCCCCGAGGGAGGGCAGCACTGGGGGGCGGTTTCACAGCATTGAGGCGGAGCTGGCAGCGGACACTTGCTTTGAGACTGGCTTCTTCCTCTGTGCGTCAGTTCCTTCTAGACCTTCTGGCTGAGGAGCTGCTCTGCATGAGGAGAAAGGCAAACTAAATTACCTGCTGGGAAAGCTCTGAAGGAATTTTTCCCTTAATTCCACCACATCCCACTTTCAGGCCGCAACCCTCTGTTTCAGGAAACCCTCGGGCTTAAGCCTCACTTGCTTGTCCTCAACAAAATGGACTTGGCAGATCTGAAAGAACGGCAGGTGAGGCCCCTCTGCAGACGCCTTCAGCACCAGGGTCGCTGGTGTCTAGAGCCTCACTGGTGCAAACACATGGTGTCAGCACGCCCAGGCAGGCTTGCCTAGCAGACCACATTGTGTTTGCAGAGGGCTGCAGCATGGCTTCTCACACTGGCGCTTCCCTCTAACCTTGAACGTGTGACCCAAATGATCCATATGCATACTCCCAAGGGAAGATGGCTGGGATGTGCCGCCAGAGCCAAGGGCCCCATGTGGTAGCCTCTGGCCCCATGTGGCTGCCAGCACTTGAAATGTGGCTACTGCTGCTGCAAAACTGCCTTTTGCTTTCATTAGTTTAATCTTCAGTGGCCGCATGAGGCTGCTGGCTACACACCTAGACAGCGCTGGCCTTGAGGTCTCCTGTGATGGCCTCATTTGTCCCCAGCTGTCCCTGCTGACCAGATCCACAGCCTCCCAGACCCCTGCCTGTCCTGCGGGCTGCCCTCTGCACACAAAGTGTGATCTGGAAGCTGGAAGACCGGGGGAGGCCCAGAGGAGCTAACGAGGTTCTCCAAAGCCAGGCAGGATTGGGGACACAAGTGACCAAGTACAGGCTGTCCCCTCGTGCCTGGAGGTGAAAGGACATGAGGATCCTGGAAGTGTTTCTCTCTGCTCTGCTTGTTCTGCTGTCACACCCTCGCAGAGAGGGCGTCAGAGTCTTGTGCTGCCGCCAGTTTTGCTCAGGTTGTCAGTGCTGAGGGCTTTTCCTTGTGTTGCCCCAGTGAGGGTGCATTTCAGGTTTCCCACTCAACTGTGGTATGTCTGAGTTACTTAAACCCCAACCACAAGCCTCCGCCACAGGTTCTAGGGAACAGCAGGCACTAAGGCTGGGAGACTTTGTTCACTGGGATCCCAGCAGAACGCCCCTCCCCCGCCACCCGCGCCGCCTCATTTGAGTCCCTCCTGCTGTGGGAATGAGGCAGTTCTGTCCTCGGAGAACAAGATGTTCCTGGTTTTCACTGCATTCACAGTCATAGTATTTATTATCACAAACTTTCAATTGATTTTATTAGTTGAGACTTGAGTTATCAGCAGCTGCTCTGCCCTTCAATGCAGATTTTTGTGGCATGGTGGGCACATCGAAGTGGCCTGACACAGGGACTCAGTGGTGTCCCCTGGTTGGGAGGCAGTCAGAGCTTCTCTGAGGTGCTGCTGCGGCCCAGGTTTTCAAGACTGGAGGAGATGGGAGGCCCTCGTGATGGTCCCCCCGCGTCTGCGTCTGCACAGTGGGGACCCATCCTGTGTGAGTTTGCACATTTCAAAGTGTGGCTTCAAACATGCCTTTGTTGTGGTCTGTATCCTAATCTGCATCATCAAAGAAAATAACCAGAATAGGTAACTGAAACAACTGAATCGATGCATGACTGTTCTGTTTGTTGAAGCATCGATCATATTTAGCTGATCGAATAATACAATACTGGTTTTGAAAAGTGTGATTCACATGCTTTCACTTAATGTGAAGACCACTAAATTCATATTAACCTTAGTTTACTTTTGGGCTTTTAAATTATTACAATTACTTTGTAATTGGATTGGGTTCAACCTTAGTTTAAAGTGGAGTTGATTTTGTGAGAACTAGTCAGGATACACAGGAGTGATGAGATTACTAAATGAAGACCAAATCCGTGTAATTTCTGTGCTGGAAGTGGCTTCAGAATAGCCTAGTTCAGCCTCATTTTTCATGACAGTCCTGGCATCCTGAGAGGGCATGCTGTGTCTCTGCTGAGCCCTCGCCCCTGGTGGCGCCGCACGAGGCCTAAGGACCAGCTTGACCACCCCTGCCCCAGGGCCCTTGCCTCCTGTCCTCGTGCAAGAGCCAGCTATCCTCTCGTGTGCCTGTGCTCAGTGCTCTGTGGCCTGTGCCTGCATCTGCCCCTCCTGCTGCCTGGCTCTTCCTGGTCCCCGGACGAGTGGCTCTGAGCCACGAGCACGCCTGGCAGAGCGGAGCCTTCAGCCTCAGATCTTTGGATTTTTGCAAATCACAACACACATGTTTTCATTTAGTATTTAAAATGAAAATATCTCTTTCAGAAAATTATACGACACTTAGAAGGAGAAGGCCTGAAAAATGTTATTTTTACCAACTGTGTGAAGGATGAGAATGTCAAGCAGGTGGGCCTCTCTATTTTGTACTATGATGCTTCTGTTTCAGTATGTTCAAGGGGTACTATAACTTACTCCGTGCTTTCACAAGGAGCAGAGTTTTGGAGACGACCCACGGATTTTAGGGGGTTTCTGGGGATACTCGTTTCCTGGTGCCGAGAGCACAGTGGGCACGGGGTCAGGCTGTAAAACATTCTGGGCTTAGGAGCAGGAAGAGACTTGGGAGAGTCTGGTGTCTTATTTTTCCCAGTCGTGTGGGGGAATTTCACTGGCTGACGTGCATCTTTGTTGGAAGGTGTTTGCTGTCACGGCTGTCGCCCTCATTTGTGTTAGAGGGTCGAGATGGGGCGCAGATGAACCCCACCATAGGGCAGTGTCAATCCGTGATGTGGACAGAATCCCGGTGCTGGAGACTGGCACGTGCCATCTCCAGAAACTGGGGAAGCAGCCAGGCTCCCCTGTGAAAGTGCCTGTGTGGCTCGTTTGTTGCAGATCGTCCCTATGGTCACGGAATTGATTGGGAGCAGCTACCGCTATCACCGAGGAGAGGTTGGTTGGTGGGCCCAGTGCTGGCCGAGGGACAGTCCCTCCTCCTGAGGAGCCCGAGGCTCACCCGCCAAGCAGCAACTGAGCCCCAGGACTACTGGGGCCTCAGCACAAACAGGGGCCTCTCACCTCTGCGCACCGTTGCAGGCACGGAGGAGGGGATGCTGCCTAGCCTGAGGAGCCACCTTGTCCTCCCATTACCCCAGTAGAAAGGGCCGGCAGCCCTGGCGAGGTGGGCATGGCCTCTGCAGTGAGCCCTGACTCACTTCCTTCCCCTAAGCTGGCCTGGGCTTGTGGGTCCGTTGTGTGGGCCCGGTGGGGGTCTCGGGGGTCTCCTGACTCCCTGCTCTCCCGCCTCTGCAGAGCCTGGAGTACTGCATCATGGTCATCGGGGTCCCCAACGTGGGCAAGTCCTCACTCATCAACTCCCTGCGGAGACAGCACCTCAGGAAAGGTACTGCGGGCACGTGCAGAGGCGGACGCTTCGTCTTCCCTGGCCAGCAGCCCCTCTTAGTGTCGTTCTGAGACGGAACTTCACAGCCCACAGCCCCACAGCTCCTTGGGGTGCCTCTTTCCACCAGAAGGACCCAATTAATGGCCTGACGCTGAGTTGAATGGCAAGACACAGTCATCCTGTTAGACATTTTATGCTTCGTTTGTTCTCTCTCTTAAAATATTGAAAGGTTAAGATATTTAATACGTGGGCGGCTTTACTAAACTTTGGTGATGTCGTCTTTGCGTTTGCTTAAGCCCCTTTTGTCATTGTGCCCAAGCTTTGGGCAGTGGATGGGGTCTGATGGGTCAGGCAGGAGGCCGTCGTGACTCAGGAGAGGGCGTGCTTGTCTTGGCAAGCGGGGGCACCGAAAGGCTTTCCACGCCCGCGTGGGGTCGCGCTGGGAGCCCCACCACCTGCCTCCTTGGTTCATGCTGTTCTCCGACTTGGAGTCTCAGGCACCCACGCCACTTGCTCACTGTGCATCCACTCTCTCCTCTTCAGTGTTTGAACATTTAACACCAAGGCTGTCGGCTTCATTCTCCACGTCAGCATGAGTCTCTAGTAACAAACCCATTTCCAGGGCGCAGGCTGCGGGCTGTGAACCACGTGGAACCAGCACGTTGCAGGCGGTGTTTCTGGTGCTCGTTGGAGAGTTGTTACAGTCATCTATTTTTTAAGTTTATTTTTCTTTAATTGTGGCTTTAAAGAGAATCACTGATGTTAAGTACATTCAGTGATGTGCAACCATCATGCATCTATTTCCAGACTTTTCCATCATCTCAAACTGAAACTCTGTAAACGTAACTGCCGACTCCCCCTGCCCCTGCGAGCCTCCAATCTGCCTTCTGTGTCTGGGTCTGTCACGATGTAGTGCTTCATGAGAGTGGAGTCACAGCGTTTGTCCTTGTGTGTAGGCTTATTCCCCTGAGCATCGTGTTCTCCAGGTTCAGCCGTGTCGTAGCCTGTGTCAGAATACCCTTCCTTTTTAAGGCTGAGTGACATTCCATTGTATGGATCGACCACATTTCTTGTCTGTTCTTCTGCCAGTGGACACATGCGCCCCTTTCCTCGAGCTGATTCTGCAGGGGGGAGAATCTGCTTGGGACGCACCCTGAGCAGGGTCCCAGAGCAGCCAGTGTTAGAGCACAGGCCAGCAGCTCCGTGGGGAGGTCAGCCCACAGACGGGCCTGTCACCGGCAGTGCTGGGGGGCAGATTCGCAGGGTGTGGGCTGGGCCTCGGGGCGCAGGGTCACGTCTGGGAGGGAGGAAGGCGACTATGCTGGAAGGAGCAACTCTGGTCTGGCCTTCACGGCCCCCAGCAGGTCTTGGGCCCCTTTCCACACACTAGGAGGTACGTTCTGGTGCCTGGCGTGGAGAGTCCCTGCCGTGAGCTGGTTTGGGGCTGAACACTGAATGCAGGCTCACTGGGGCCTTCGCGGGTTTCCCTGTGTTTCATTGCTAATTCTGTGGCTTGTGTGCCGGCCTTGTGTGTTTAATGCACATCCGACAGCCCCCTTCTGTCCTGCAGGAAAAGCTACCAGGGTGGGCGGCGAGCCTGGGATCACCAGGGCTGTGATGTCCAGAATTCAGGTAGGAGTCCTCAGCTCCTGGGCCCAGAGCTGCACTCACGGACACTGCACTTCCTGATGGCTCGTGAGGTGCCCGCCTCTGTCCGTGCTGTCCCTTCCCTTGCTCTGCGTTCTCACTGAGCGCTCACCACAGGCCAGGCACTGCACCAGCTCTGACACCAAACCTATGGGAGGGCACACTTATGCCTCTTTAACAGATGAGGAAACTGAGGCACAGAGGAGTTACATCACTCACCTGAAGTTGCACAGTGGTCAGGGCAGAGCCGAGCTGAGCCTGTTCTCTCAGCCACAGTCCAGCGTCTGCACACATTCCCTTTTCTCCCTGGGAGAAGATGGGGGCTGTGGGCGCCTGTTGCTTTTATTTATTCTCCCAATTAAATGGGGATCAAATGCTATGGGAAGCTAAGAGCTTGGTAAAAACAGTGACACCCCTTGAGGCAGGTTCCTGGGGCCTCCTTGGAGCCCCAGGAACCCAATATGAGGCTTGAGGGGCTACCCAGCAGAAGGCGCAGTGGGAGGGGCTGCTTTTGGCTTCCTGGGAGCCCAGCCCGACACCCTCTGTGTCCACAGGTGTGTGAGCGGCCGCTGATGTTCCTGCTGGACACCCCTGGGGTGCTGGCGCCCCGGATCGAAAGCGTGGAGACAGGCCTAAAGCTGGCCCTGTGTGGTGAGCGGGCTGCACCCTTAGGGCCTACACCGGGCAGGTGGAGACAGGCCTAGAGCTGGCCCTGTGTGGTGAGCAGGCTGCACTGGGTGGGCTGTGCCTGCCTTTGCCTGGCTGCTGCAGACACTCCCATGGCTGTTGGGAGAGGCTGTCTCAAGCAGCGTCGTACAGTCCTGTCTGACGGCTGACATGTGCCAGGCGTGCTCTGACCCCCCCAACCCTCACAGGTGTTCTTGGAGAGAGTGCCTCTCTTCTCCCAGTTTGCAGAGAGGGCAGAGAGGTCAGGTCAGACAGCCATGGCATGGCTGTCCCTTAGCAGCACCTCTGGCTAAGACCAGGAGGGGCACGCTTGAGGGCACATGCGGGCTGTCTGGGGGTGCTCACCCTGCCTGTCTGTCTGCAGGAACTGTGTTGGACCACCTGGTCGGGGAGGAGACCCTGGCTGACTACCTCCTCTACACCCTCAACCGGCATGAGCTCTTTGGGTGAGTGAGGATGTGGGGCGGGTGGCCCTTCCTCTCTCTCGTCCAGCCTGATGTCGTTAAGAGAAAGCGGCATCGTTGGTATTGAGACCAACAACAGTCTGCACCTCCTGGCTCCTTTACACAGGGAAGGATTCACCCTGAGCTAACATCTGTTGCCAATCTTCCTCTTCCTTTTTTTTCCTCCCCAAAGCCCCAGTGCATGGTTGTATATCCTAGTTGTAAGTCCTTCTAGTCAACTAACAGACGGGTGATGTGGTTCTGTGACCGGGAAATGAACCCGGGCTGCTGAAGCAGTGAAAGCCCAGAACTTTAACCACCAGGCCATCAGGGCTAGCTCTGTACCTTCTTTACAGTGTACAGTCAGAAACATTTCAACACATGGATACATCTGTGACACTGTTAGGCAGTCAAGAAAACCCCTACATTCCTGGTGCTGCTTTGTAACCCCTCTTTGTACCCTTCCTGCCCCTGCCCTGCACCCCGTAGCCACCTGCTCTGTTGTTCTTTGCAGCTTCTGTGCTGGAGTCGTGCAGTGTGTGCTCCATCATTTGGCTTTGTTCCCTCTGCTTGATTGTCTTCAGACTCTTCTGAGTTGTAAGGTGTGTCACCTTGTCATTCCTGTCACTGGCAAGCAGTATTTTGCATACAGATACATGTGGTTTGTTTGTTCTCACCACTGAGTGTGATGTGGGCTGGGGGTGTTGCATCGATGTCCTTTGTCACTTTGAGGACATCAGTCTGGCTAGAAGTTTATCAGTTTTATTGATTTTCCCCTAAGAACCAGCTTTCGGTCACTTCATCATGGCTTTTCATTGACTTTATCATCTTCCTGTTTCTTATTTCACTGTTTACTGTTCAGTCTTTATTATTTCCCTGTTTCTACTTTGCTCACTTTCTCTCTGTTTTTACTATCATTTATTGAGAGAAAGGTATTGAAATCTCCAACTCTAACTGTGGATTTGTCTATTCTTCCTTGCAGTTCTGTCAGTTTTTGCTTCATGTATTTTGAAGCTTTGTTGGGTGTAGAACATTGGGGAGATTGTGTCCTCTTGATGATCTGGTGCCTTTGTCGTATGCAGTGACCTTCATCCTTAGAACACTCTGCTTGGATGTACACCTTGTGTGGTATTTGTATAGCCAGCCTCCTGCTGCTTGGTGTTAATATGGCATATTGTCTTTTATTCTTTTACTTTACTTTTTATTTCTATCCTTCTACTTTGTTTGTGTGGGTATATTTAAAATGTGCTTCTCATAGGCTGCATATAGTTGGGTCTTATTTCTTATCTAATCTGACAGTTTCTGTCTTTCATTTTAGGTATTTAGATCATTTACATTTAGTGTGATTATTGATGTTAGCTTTACATTCGTCACCCTGCTGTTTGTCCTGTCTATGTTGTTTTTCCTCCCTCTCTGTCTCTCTCTGTCTCTCTGGCTGTCTCTCTCTCTTTGGCCTTTTTTAGATTAGTTGGATACTTTTTATGATTCCACTTTCTCCCCTTTGTTAGCTTGTCATCTCTGACTTTGGGAGGAGGTTGCCCTAGGGTTTATAGAGCTCTTTCCAGGATATTATAACACATTGCGTGTAGCGTAAGCTGCTTACAGTAGTATATTTCCATTTTTCTCATCCTGACCCTTGGGCTGTTGTCCTGTCTTACTTTTATGTAGTTTATAAACCCCAGATACGCTCTTCCTGTTTTCTTTGTGTAGATCCCAGTTTGCATCTGATGATGTCTTCCTTTGTCTGAGTACTTGCTTTAACATTCGTTGTCATGCTGGTGACGAAGTCTGGGATTTGCGTGTCTGGAGATGTCTTGATCTCGCCTTCGTTCTTGGAAGATACCTGCCGTGTGTGTGTGCTCCTGGACTGGCAGTCTTGGTCAGCGCTGGATCATCCTCTTCTGCAGTGTCTCGTCTACTGTTCACCCTTCCAGAGTGTGTTTCATGGTGTCCCCTTTGGAGGTTCTGTTTGGGTCATTTTTTTTATATCTTCTGTATCTCTACTTAACTTTGTAACCACATGGAATATTTAATGTCTTTGTCTTGTGATCTAACATCTGGGGCAGTTTCCATTGATTGATTTTCCCTCATGACAAGTCTGTTTTCCTACTGTGCAGGCCTGATAATTTTTGCTTGGATGCTAGGCATTTGGAATTTTGCCTTTTTTGGTAATGGGTAATTTTATATTCCTGTAAAAATCCCTGAGTGATGTTCTGGGACAGCTTTTTGGAAACGGATTGGCCCTTTCAGGCCTGTGGGTCTGGAGCAGTTCCCACGGAGGCCCCCATCCCGTCCCCAGTGCCCTGTGGGTCATGAGGTTCCATCTGTTCCCGGCTCTGAGCAGTGCTTGCCACTCCCCCCTGTCCTCCTGGGGGGTTCTTTTGGTTCTGTCCTTGGGGAGTTTCCTCTGTCATTATCCCTCCTCTGCTGAATATCTGAGGGCGGCTCACTGCAGATTTCCAGAATTCTCTTTTTGGACAGCCTGTCCCCTCTGGTTCTCCCACATGACCTGTAGCCGCCTTGGTCTCCCAGAGCCACTTCTCCAGCCACAGTCATCCGGCTCGGCAGGCTCCCTCCTGGCCTCGTGGCCTGAAGCTCTCAGGGTACCGAGTGGGCCACTCCTAGGTCCCTTGTTCATGTTCTTCGTGCCTGATGGATGATGCCTTGAAAACGTTTGTTTTGTGTATTTTTGGTTGTTTCAGATGGGGTTAAATCCAGTCCCTGTTATCTGTTTTGCATGGAAGTGGAATTTCAAAGGTCGCTTTTTGGCTTCATTTTCGTGGGGGTCAGTTTGGATCTCCACGGTTCCGCAGTGTTTCTGCAGGGTGCAGTGGCCACGAGCTGGCAGGTACAGCTCTTGGGGCATGTGCTAGCAAGTCCTCCTCAGGCCTGTCGCCTCCTGGGACAGCTTCTCGCGATTGCCAGGACACAGGGACCTGTGGGGCTGCTGTTCTGGGAAGTCTGATTTAGGACCTGCATTCCTCAGGATTCAGATGTCCCCTGAGAGGGGGCTTGACGCTCACGCGGGGCCTGGGCCTGTGTCTGAGGGGTGTGTAGCGTGAGGCCAGTCCGAGCCCCTGGCCTCCGTGTGGGGCCATGAGCAGACCCTGCCACTCTGTCTACCGGTCAGGAGGCTCCAAGTGGAGATGTAAGCGACTTGCTGTGTCCCCTGGCAGGCGCGTTGGTCCAGGTGTCCCCGGCTCCCGAGGTTCAGGGAGGGGCTTGTCTGTAGATGACGTTTGTCTTCTTCAGCCACTCGGCCTCAGACGTGCCTGTGCCGGTGCTGGCCTTTCCCATCAGGCCCAGACCTGCATCCTGTGAGGCCGGGGTCCCTGAGAGTCGCTGGGCAGTTCTCAGCAGCGGTGGGGGTGGAGTTAAACCCTGCCGCCACGGGCTACAGAAAATGCTAGTCCGACAGAACTGCCCGTTCTCCAGCCAGCTGGACAGAGTGCGGTGATCCTGGCTGTCCTGACCTGCGTCCTCAGCAGCAAACTGAGCGTGTCTGCTGTGCTGACTGTGGGCCCCGCTGCTGCTCAGGGACGGGTGGATGATGCTTGTGGACAGCCAAGGGCTCTGGTGGGGCGCTGCCCTCAGGGCAGCTGGCCATGGCCACGCAGGACAGACGTCAGCAACTCTGCAGTGGGGCCCCCTGCCCCACGCCCACGCTGTGGTCACTCACACCCACATGCAGAGGGGTCATTTGTGGAGCCGGGCCTGACCTCGCAGGGGCCTGGCCCTGGCCCACGCTGGCTGACCGGCGGTCTGTGTGCAGGTACGTGCAGCACTACGGCCTGGGCGAGGCCTGTGATGACATCGTGAGTGTGCTGAAGCGCGTGGCCGTGAAGCTGGGGAAGACGCAGAAGGTGAAGGTGCTGACAGGCACAGGTGAGACGCGGGCCGGCTGGCGGGTTAGGACACCGTGGGGACATGCGGCAGCCCTGGGAGCAAAGGTCCTGGAGAGGAAGGGGCTCTGTGTGCAGCTGCAGGTGCCGCTCCAGTGCCCGAGCTCCACAGACACCTGCCCAAGGGTCCTTGGGGGGGGGGGGAGGGGTGTGTGCAAACCCTGGGCCTGCCCTGTGTGGAGGCCCCTCCCTCACCAGATCCTCCCCTCACCAGGTGACGTGAATGTCATCCAGCCAAACTACCCCGCGGCAGCCCGTGACTTCCTCCGCACCTTCCGCAGTGGGCTGCTTGGCCCGGTGATGCTGGACCGGGACACTCTGCAGAGCCACCCCTCGGCAGGGGCCCAGGGCCACCGCCCTGCTGAGACGGACCCCTGAACTGGCCCAGCCAGCGAGGGCCTCACTCCTGCCCAGTCCTCGGCACCAGAGATGTGTGGTGTCCAGACCTTCGTGGCCAGAGGTCTGAACTCAGGACTCCCTTTCCAGAAGCTCCGCGCTGGTCACTGTACACCCAGGTCTCCGCTCCAGGAAGGAGCCAGCTCTCCTGTTGCGCCATGGCTGGGCTAGCTCCTGGGTACGGGGGACTGTGCCTGGGTGTGGACGTCAGGGTGGCTGACGTCCCTGAGTGGTCCCACAGCCTGGCCTGGCAGGGAGGCTGTCTCATGCTCAGTGTCCCTTAAGGAGAACTGATGTCGTCTCAGAAAGAGTTGAAGCTATAATCTGTAATTTTTAAAATTTAAATTAAAAGACCTGTCTGTGCTGTTGGCCCATTCATTGCACCAGGAGCACCTGGGACTGTCTTAAGGCCCCTTCCCAAGGGAGAACAGGGTGTGGACTGGTTAGTAAGTAGGGCTCGTGTCCAGTTCCCCATACAGTGTCCTGGGTCCTGCAAGAAGGAACAGTCTTGTTGTCTGCGGAGTGTTTATTTCACAACACTACTAAATGTGCACACAGAGAGGGACAAGAAGTTCCACATAGCCGTGGCAGCACCTGGGGGCCGCCTGCTCATGGCCCAGCTGCCTACAGGCGGGAGGGTCGCTGGTGTGGTCAGGTGAGACCTCCAGGGCTTCACACCGCCTCTGAGCACCTTTAATGGGACCGTCCCAGAGGCCCCTCCCAGCACTGTCGTAATCAGTGCACCTGACAGTCCAGGGATGTCACCCTCCAACCTGCGTTCTGAAGAAGGGCAGAGGAAGGAAAGGTGCTATGTGGAGGCTGCACCTTGTCAGGAGCTCCGGCTCACCTGTGGCCAGTGGTCTCATTGGGCACCTCCCCTCCTGTGGCCCCTCGAGGTCCTCTTATCCCGTGTGGTTGCCCCACGGCTGTGCACACGTACCAGCCCCTCCTGAGAGTACCCACCCCAAGTGCTGGAACCCTGACCAGCAGGGCGGGGAGTATTCGGAGATTCATGGTTGTGCCAAATGCCAGACCCGCTCCTGGAGTCGGGCTGCTGTGTGCAGTCAGCTCCCCACTTAGCATGATGTTTCCATCTCGTCCCAAGTGCTGGCGGCCCCCATGGTGCCCAGCAGTGTGTGAGAGTCTGGTCCGGCCACAGCCCAGTATCCAGTGGTGTAGGAGAGGCTGAGTGCAGCCAGGCCGGCCCCCATGCTCCTGGGCCTTCAGAGCCACCTGGATGCGTCTCTTTGGGCAAGATTCCGACTTCTGCCACCTGCAGATAAAGTGGTAGACTGGTCACACTGCCTCTGGGGCCCTGGGCAGGGCCTGACCACGGCCTGCTGGTCTTTGTTAGCATCGAGCTTGGTCCAGAATGGACAGAGGAGCATCTGGGCTCGCTGTACCCCGAGAATGCTGGCAGCTTAGTGTCCCTCTGGAAAAAAAGGCTTGCTCCAGGGTCTGAGTGATAGCTTGAAGACCCTCACCCTAAGCAGAGGCACGTGCCAGCTGTGGAGAGCAGAGGTGGCAGGGCCCCCTGGGCGGGGCTGGGCTTGGCACTGGTGCTCATCAGCTGAGTTGGAAGGCCCCATGGTCCAGGGGGTGAGGGCAGATTCCGGGATATAGCCCAGTGGCGGGCGAGGCCCCTGCCGAGCACCGAAGGAGGGCGGGATCCTGAGGAGCTGGCCTAGGAAGCGGGCCTACTGTGGGATAAGGGGCATTGGAGCTGGAGGATGTGGTGAAGAGCTGAGGCCCCTGGGAAGCAGGCCTGCCATGGGATAAGGGGCGTTGGAGCCGGAGGACGTGGTGAAGAGCCGAGGCCCCAGGCTGAGCTCGTGGACACAGAACCAGGCTGGCAGCTCAAGGGAAGTGGGCTGCTGGGCACCTGAGAGGCGGAGGGCCGGCCCTAGGCACAGGGGTGTTGGGATCCAAAGACAAACCCTTGTAAGGATCTGCCCGGCTTTCCTTACAGGCTACCTTGGGCGTGGCCTGTCCTCGGAACACCCTCGGAGGTTCAGACAGCCTCCGTGGTGGTGGAGGGAACTCAGCCTCTCACGCTTTCTTCTGTTGAGCCAAGGCGCTTGCTGGCTTCCTCCACAGACCTGCCAGGGGGCTGGTCAGGTGGCTGGGGGTCTAACAAGCTCCTGGCTTCCTTTGTTCGCACCATGCCCTCACCTTCTGAGGGAGGCTGCCCACTGGGAGACGCTGCTGCCTGGGGCAAACCTGCTGGGGGCACGGTGGGCTGTGGCCGGAGGGCTCTTCAGTGGGGTGGCAGTTGTTGCACCTGAGTACAGGGGAGGTCTCTGAGCCTGGACGTGAACCTAAAGTTCAATGGAAATGGGAAGCTCTTGAAGTTTAAACAATGTTGGTTTTTTTTTCAAAATAGGTCTCAAGAAGGGTTAAGTGACTTGTTTCAAGTCGAGCAAAGTGCCTCCAAGGGAGCCCCTGGCAGTGGGTCTCACAGAGCATCTGCCTAGAGAGGAGGATGCGGCCTTGGGACCGAGGGCAGGGGCAAGCTGCGGGCAACCCTTGTGGGCAGGGAGTGCTCTGGGAACCGTGCAGAGAACCGCTATGGGCATGCCTGGGCTCTGAAGTCCGCAGACCATCTCTTCTGGACACATGCTCAGCACCTACAACCCGTGAGGGAAACCTGTCCTCTCTCTTTTCCCTGGGAAACCTCAAGTCCTTTGTTCCACTCTGGCAGCTTCTGTGGGGGAGGCCACCATGGTCCTCAGGGCTGGTGCAGAACCAGCCCAGCCTGATGGCCGCCTCTCCACCTGGTGGTCAGTACTGTCACACCTCTCAGGTGTCCAGGGTGGGGTCGGGGAGCTAGAGTGGCCTGAACAGCCTGGTCTTGGCACCTCTCTTTGAGCAGCTCTGGAGAGATGGTGGGCAGCTGACCAGGATGGTCCAGAAACCACAAGACCCCTGCCTTTTGATGGGGAGGACCCTAGACCCTAACCTCCAAGTGGAAGTTGGGGCATGGGTGGCGGGTGCTGGCGAGGGTGGGAGATGGGGAGGCTGGGGAGGGGCTTGGGCAGAGGGTGAACAGAAGTCGCCTCAGGGCCACAGCTAGGAGAGGCTGCAGCTCCTGCCAGGGTGGCGAGAATCGTCCAGGCAGCGCCTCTGGGCTCGAAGGCTGTGGGCAGCAGACGAAGAGGTGTGGGGTGGCCTCTGGGGTGGGCCTGCGGGGAGGGCGCGGGCTGGGGGCTGAAGTGACCCCAAGCCCAGCTGGGCCTAGGGCCGCAGCAGCCCCAGCGCGCCCAGGGCACCGCCCAGCAGCAGGCAGAGGCACAGGCCGCGCGTGGGCTCCGTGCCCGAAGTCCAGGCGCTGTAGCTGTAGACGCCTTGGCCGGTCCCGTTGCCGCCGGGGGACCCGTCCTCGTCGTCGTCCAGTCCGCGCACCCCCGGCCCCGCGGCCCCACTCCAGCGCGAGCCGGCGGCCAGGCCCACCGCCCCCGCCGCCCCAGCCGCCGCCCCTGCTGCCGCCACGCGCAGGGAAGAGCCCGCGTACCGGGGCGCCGGCCTCACCCGCACCCTCGGGGCCCCGCGCGCGCCCCCGCGCAGCCCTCCCCGGGCGCTGCCGCGAGCCCCCCCACGGCCGCCCTTGGCTGCGCCGCTGTCGCAGAGGAAGGCGGCCGCCAGCAGCAGAGCCCAGCACGTCGCCGCCGTCCAGTTCATCTTTGTGGGGCAGGACCTGCGGGAAGATGGAGGAAGGGACCTCAGCTTCTGTGAGGACCAGGGGGCCTAGGGCCTGGGGCCAGCGGTTCTGACCCTAGGGACAGGGGCCCCAGGGGCGGGGACAGAAGCTTAGCATTTGGCGGTACCTGGGGGCTCCAGCATCTTGGAGGACTGCTGCTCAGGGCTGGGGTGGGCTGGGAGGAGGGGTTCGAGCGCTTGAGGATTAGGGGCCCAGTCCTGGGGAGGGGGTAGGGTCTCTTCAGTAACTGGAAAGGGGTGGGTGGAGGTGAGAAGGTTCAGCACCTGGGGGTTATTCCGTGCCTGGGCGTGGAGTAGGGGCATGAACGGGGCGGGGTGGGGAGTGAGGCCCTGCCGTAAGGGACTCGGGCCTGGGGAAGGGCTCCTTGGCTGTTTTGCAAGGACCAACCCCGGCCTCCAGGGCGCCGGCGAGGCCACGGGGATGGAGGTTGTGTTTGAAGGACGCAGTCTCAGGGACCGAGGCCCCCCAAGGACCCAGACTGGGGTGTGGAGAAGGGATCAACCGTGTGCTTCGGCCCGGCTCTCCCGGACCCCTCGGAGCGGTGCGCACCGGGCGCGGGGCGAGAGCCGGGGGTCCGGGCCTCACGGGCTGGGGTCACTGTGCAGACCCCGCCCCTGCAGGCCGGGACCCAGGGGATGGTCCTTGCCCGCCCCACCCCTCCCTCGACTCCACCCCTCCCCGACCGCCGGGGACGCGGCCGTTCCGGGTGCAGCGATCTGGGCGGCGGCTCGACCCTCCTCCCAGGCCCGCCGGTCTCCCCTCGCGGCTCCTCCATGCCCGGCCCCGCGGATGCCCGCCCCAGCCGCCCGATCCGGGCCTGGATCCCGCCGCTCGGCCTTACCCGCCACGGGCCTCGGTCGGAACCGCGGGCTGGAGTGGCCGCTCCAGGGGCCAGGCGGAGCGGGAAGGGCGGGCTGGGGCGGAGACCCTCCACCCAGCGCAGAGCCTGGATTTTGCGCGAGGCCTCCGCCCTAGGATTAGGGGCGGGCAGACGCGGAGGCTCGTCCCCCGGGAGACGGAAGGGAGGAGATAAAGGCAGGCCCCGCGGAGCGCAGCCCCTCTGCCTTCCCAGCCCCCCCGCCGTCCTCGCTGCGCCTGGTCCTCCTCCCCCCACCCCTCCGTCACCCCTCCCTCACCCCCCTCAGTCCCCATCCTATCTCCCGCTTCCACACGCGTCCGCCCGACTCTGTCTCCATCACGCAGTCCGCACCCAACACTTTCCCATCCCCGCCCCCGTGCACGTGGTGCCCCACCGCATCTCGCCTCACCCCACCCCTCCTCCTCCATCCCACCTTCCCATACTCCATGGCAGTCCTGCCTGCCCCAAACCGTAACCTCTCCCACCCCACCCTCTCCCATTCCTCATCTTCATCCCTACCCCAGGTGGCTGTGTCCCAGACTCAGGGACCACAGGATGCCATGTCAGACCCTGAGCTCCAGATCATGGTGTTCAGGGCTCTGCATTCCAGGCCCAGAGAGGACAGGATGGCTGTCCTGGGCCACAGTAACCGAGGTCCCAGGGCAGCAGCCCCCTCCCCCCTCCCTTTTTTTCTTTTTGAGGAAGATTAGCCCTGAGATAACATCTGCCACCAATCCTCCTCTTTTTGCTGAGGAAGACTGGTCCTGAGCTAACATCCATGCCTATCTTCCTCTGCTTTATGTGTGGGATGCCTGCCACAGCATGGCTTGTCAAGCAGTGTGTAGGTCCGCACCCAGGATCCGAACCTGGGAACCCTGGGCCACCGAAGCAGCAGGCCCTTTTCTGGGCACCTAGCACAGCAGGCCCCCTTTGCAGGTCTGGGAAAGGACGTCTTGGCCCCCGTCCTGCCCTGCAGTGCCCACCATTCAGGTCCCTCCAGGGGGGGCCCTCCAGGTGGCCCCTCCATGGCAAGGTCACCTGTAGCCCCACTGCCCAAGCCAAGCCAGACCCTGCTGAAGTGGACTCTGGGACCCCTTCTTGAAATGGTTTGTCTTGCCACTGGGACCTCTCACCTCCCAACATGTACACTAGGCCATCACCACAGCCCTCTGCCTGGGGACACCAGGTCCTCTTGATGGTTTTAGGGATGTACGTGGGAAGCTCCCCAGCTGCACGAGATTGTTTAATGTGATATGATCTCTCTTAGCTTCCGTCAGATCCTCACCATCCGCTGAGAAACGCCCCCCACACTGGGCAACCTCACTCCCTCTCCGTTTCAAATGCCACATGGGCCACTGGCCTCTCCTGGCCAGGCCGCTGGTCTGCTGCACCCCAGAGTCGGCGGGCACCTCATGATTTCTCAGCTACGGGCCCTTGGCCTTGAGTGCAGGACCTGCTTGGTGACTCCTGTTTTCTAAGAACTTAGCCAGCCACATGGGAGGCCCAGCAAATATTTGATGAATAAATATATTAATATCTTTCTGTCTTCTAACCTTCTGGATAACTTAGAAGGAAACATTCTGGGAATAGAAACCAAGCCTATTCTTTTAAATTATAACTACTGTTAAGAATTGGTGAGGGGCTGGCCCCATGCCTGAGTGGTTAGGTTTGTGCACTCTGCTTTGGTGGCCCAGGGTTTCGCCGGTTCGGGCCCGGACCGGGCACCACTCATCAAGCCATGCTGAGGCAGCGTCCCACAGAGCACAAACAGAAGGACCTACAACTAGAATATACAACTATGTACTGGGGGGCTTCGGGGAGAAGAAGAAGAAGAAGAAGAAAAGAACTGGTGAGAACGCTCCTTGTATCTTAGCCTTTGTAGGGGACAAGTCAACAATGTTTTCCAAACTCCTGCCAAGTAAGGGCTGGAAAAAACTGGTATTTGAAAGAGAGACAGGTCTGCTGGCTCTAGGTCCACCCAGCTCCCTCCCTTCTGAGGCCTGATGGCAATCACAGGAAATAAGTTCACAAGGAGAATGGGAGGGGCCCTCAGGAGATTCGCAGGAGGGTGCTGGCTCATTAGGCACAGGAGGAATCCCCCTGGAACAGAGGGGCAGTGGCCAGGGAGAGAGCTGCACAGCCTCGGGAATTGGGAGTATGATGATGGGTGGTTGGGAGAGATGAGGGCAGAAATGCGGGGGGGTCAGCCAAGATTTGCATTCTCTGGTTGAGCCCCTCCCTGGTCCCACACACAGAAGAGCCCCCAGCAAGCTGCTCACCCCAAGGAAACAAGGAAGTTTCTCTGAAGAAATCAGGGTGAGCCGGGCTGCCTTAACACTTGGTTGGGGCCTGCGGTGGACCGCTGCTGCTTCTGCCACTCAGCATCCATTTTCCCTTGTTCTGGTCAAGGAATCTGTGCGTGTCCTCTGGGGAGCTAGCCCTCTCTTATTTTTGGTCCATGAGGTCAGGCTGTGACCGCCCCCTCTCCTGGCCCTATGAGGCGACGTGATGTGCCGTGTGGTTCTTTCCAGTGCAGGCCGAGGACCACATTCTGAGTGGCTGGGAGACAGCTCGCTCTCCTCCTGTGACCCTGAAGGCTTGAGGCTGAGTGTGGAGCCGTCGCACATGTGGAGCTGTCCCACGGAACCTGAGACGAGCCACCCCGATGGGGCAGGACCGAGGGGAACAGAGGTGGGTCCTGACCCAGTTTTGTCTCCTGGATCAGGCAGTGCCAGAGCCGGCATCTCGGACCTTCTTTAGATGCGTGCTGCATCACCTGCAATGAGGCTCCAGCTGGTGGCTGGTTCACTGCCCCTCGTGGTAAAGGGCCCTGCCACACACACACAGAGCTGCCAGGCAGTCTTCCCCCTGCTGCGTTTTAAAGTACGAATGACAAGGGGTGTTTGTCAGAGTTTCAGGGAGAGCGTCTAGGCAGACAAGGAAGACAGAGAAAAGAAAATGGATCAGGGAGTCTGAGGAGTCAGAGGAAAACCTAACACACAAACATGAGGAAAATACTCTAATTCAGACTTGGGAAGACTGAGGGAGACAGTGTATTTATATAAGAACAGGATGCTGTGAAAAAGGAATAGGTAGGCACTAAGAAAGAACTTTTGACAAAATGAGGTTGAAAAAACCCAACAGGAGAATTGTGTTATAAAGTTAAGGAAGTCTCTGCATGAATAGCAGAGACAGCTGGGAGAAAAGGACATCAACTTGAAATATGGCCAGAGGATCGGCTTCTGGGCCCCCAGCGAGCAGAGAGGAAGGAGAGCCAGTGACAGCATAGGACGAGTGGAGGACGCAGGCCCCCGCTGACTTTGTGAGACCCTAAACCTTTTATCCCAAGATACGTGAGGGAGCACAAGACACAATTTAGACTATTTCATATTTGAACATCAGCATGAAACTCTAAATGAAATATTAGCGCAGTGACCCCAACAGCACCTCCAAAAAGCATCACGTGAGGTCAGCTCAGTTCAGGTGGTTTCCCGTCATGAAATCCATCCACGCACCTTAGTCACTAGTGCCCCAAGGGAGGAAATACTTGTGATCCTCTCAAAACAGGAAGGC